AATACAGATATTAAGGCAGAAGCTACTAAAGATATAAGTAAATAAAATTCTAACTAAGTTGGAATATATAACTCTAAAGGAAAAACACTAAGTCTGATTAAAAGCCTAATGTTGGGTATTATATGTCCGATAACCGGCAAGAGCACGATAATTTACAGCCCTAGCTCCATATCTTGACTGCCGCCGATGGCCTAAAGTCTCTGGTCCCCGTATATCATCTTCACTATCATCTTCATGGAACTGTGCATGCTCCTTCTCTATTGGTGTTGAAGGCTGAATATCAGGTATTTCAGGGGTATCTTCATCTTCAACATGATCCTCGTCCAGTAGATCGAACAGATTCTCCTCAGGATCCCCAGAATCATCACTATCACTGATATATTCAAAGTGATCCTTATCACCCGGTTGTTCAAGGTAGTTATAGATATCTGATATATTATCACCCTCTTCCTTCTCGATTCGGCAGTCTTCCCTTAACTGAAAGCGATCTGCCATAAGAAGTATCATAAGTCCATGAATAGTTTTTGGATCGAGGCGGCTTCGGCGATAGTGACAGATATCACGACTGGTATTAAAAAGGGATTCAACACCAACTCCTGACACTGCAACTGATAAGAAGTCGCGGGCCATAATTGAGAGTATTGGGAACCGTTGCTGGTTTAAACGCCAATACTCTAAAATATCTTGAGAGACAGTGCCTATTCTAACTTAGTTAGAATTTAATGTAGCAGCGAACTAAGAACGTACCCTCATTTAAGTAGGTCTCAACTTCAGCGAATGAACTATCTTGGCAGGTCATGGTAATTCTTCTTTTCTTGATAAAATGCTGGCGGACTTGATCGAATTGTGATATCTGATGTAACGGAGCTGTATTGACAGTAATATGAGGATGCCTCTCCTTGTAAAACTGGAAGACATCAATAAATCGTTTCCGATAATGAGCTTCCCAGTTTGTTCCTTCTCCCTTCCAAGAAGTAGTGGTGAAATATTTGAGCTTAGAAGATGGATCTAAAATTGTTGCAACGGCAAAGACATCACCTTGGGCATCATAAGTCCGGCCATAATAAGCACTTAACTTATGATAAGCAGCCTCAAGCCCCTGCCGAATCTGCTGTTTCCAAGTAAGTCGTTTCCGCTTTAATGTCTCAATAGAGAGCTCCAGATGGGTAAAAAGGGTATCATAAACAGCAAAAACACTCTGAGCTGACGGGCCGTGCTGGCGGGATAGAGCTAATGTCAAAAGATAAAATGGTGCAAGAAGTTCACAAAGATATTCAAGCTGGCGCCATTGCTGGGCAGTAAGAGTAAAATGGCGGACTGATGTACTTGACACATCATGCATGAAAGCATCCACAGCATTCCGGAGACGTAGAACACGGCGAATCATTAAAAAGGTTGAATTCCAACGCGTGCGACAGTCAAGGAGTAAAAGAATTGGCGCAGTAGTTGTATTAATGCTAGCCTGAATCTTTTGGAATGTCTCTCGTCGTTGTGGGCTAGCATTGATATACCGTACGGTTTTGCGGACCTTAATCTAACTTAGTTAAATTATAGCAAACACAGAATGTAAGGACATACCTTCTCAAGAGTAGAGGGTAAACCTTTACTATTAATATACTGAGTCTCTGAATCAT